GAACTTGACATTGCCCAGCAGCGGGAGTCTGCAAATGAAAACTAAGTTAAATTTGATGGGGCATCTTAAAGCGAAGGGAACACGGTGGTCTGGCAGGGTATGTATTTGTCAAGTTGCTCTAACTGATCAGTGGAAGGTAAAGCCCAGAGTGAGACAGAGCCAAATGCTGTTACAGCAGCTCCTTGGGATTTTGCTGGAAGTCCAAGGAGGTGCAAGGAGCAGCCATTAGCAATTTTTTTTGAGGAAAACTGTGCTTCCTAATTTTCCTAGTGACAAATCTTTCTTACGTTGCCTTGGATCTAAATACCCCCCAAAAAATAACAAACCCCTTCAATTTTGTATTCTCATTTGTAAGCTGAACCCTATCGAGAAGTCAGTTGCCTCTGATGTAATGTTTTTCTTTGGCCTTTAGTAATGTTTTACACTTCTTTTGTAACTTAGTTCTACCAGCATACTTTATGCATTTCAGAAGTGTATTGAGATGTGATTGCTACGTAGTTTGATAGAAAGCTCCGTGAGATCGGGTGTTTGGCTACTAAATACCACTGGCTTTCTAGACCACATGCATACCAATGGTACCGGGAGGGCTCTTCTTGCTCCGCATGTTCTAAAGCAGATCAGAAGCCATGCATGTCAGCCAAGCGTTGGTCTGGCAGCCTCCCATAACTCTTAAAAGGGCTTTGGCATGAGTGTGGATACGTTGTGTTGGAAGTTCTTTATAAAACTCTTTCCTATGAGGCTCTCTTCATAGTAGAGCCTCTGCATACCAGCTTGATGGTGTGGTACACAACAGAGTACCTGGATGTTAGGTCCTCAGGAAGGAAGCTGTGGCTTTTATTATCTTATTTCTGTTTTACAGATAACTCGTTTATTTGATCATGTCCTAAACTAATTTTTCCTCTTCTTATTCCCAGGAGCTGCTCCACATGCTCTGAGACAACTGTACCTGTGGCTGACCATGATCTTATCAATTGCTGTTTGCTTACTTCCTGTAGTGGCACAGCGTTTCCTATCGATGACAATTTGGCCTTCAGAAAGTGATAGAGTGAGTAAAGTCTTTACGTTATTTCGGTTAATTTGCCGTGTATTTACTTACAGGAGTCAGTATTGGTGCTAACAGTGGAGATAAGTAAGTGAGTGTGCTCTAGGGAGAGCTTCAGTGAAAGACAGCAAAGGTAGATGACAATAATTGGGTTCAGAGTAATACAGTCAGTCTGTCTGACAGGGGGGTGTGCTACTGCCTGTATTTGTGTTTCTAACAAAATCAAATTTAGACAAGAGAACCCTCCTTTTAAACACTTTAAGGATGTAAAAAAGTATCGGGTTATGTCCCCAGACGGTAAATGCAAACAAGCTGTTTTCCCTTGTAATCCATAAACTAATCTGTCTCTCACGCCTGAAGATTCAGAAGAACCGTAAGAAATACATGGCAGAAGAACAACAGCAGAAGCGAAGGCAGAGTGCTTTTCGCCGAGGGGTATCTGGCCGTCGTTCTGCTTACGCTTTCTCCCATCAGCGGGGGTACGCTGATCTCATCGCTTCTGGACGCAGCATACGGAAGAAACGGGCTCCCTTGGATGCAGTCCTAGGCAGCAGCGTGACGGAAGTCGGAGGTGCTCGTGAAGCAAGCTGATGTACTGCATTTTGGGGAGAAGCTTTTTATCCCACTACTTGCACAAAAACGTTTTTTTAAACAAACTCAGGAGATTTTTTTAACCAAATGGCACAAGGAGATGAAGATTTTTAGGTTTTGTCACAGAACTTCCTGGTTTTGGACTATTGGAAACATAGAAAGGCCAGGAGCTACCCATCCTTGTGCAACTGATTTCTGTATAATGTGAAAGTGAAGGATATGTGTGCTAGGGTAGGAAACCCTAGCATTGTAATTTTATTTCTTTTTTCCTAGCGATGCCTGGAATTGCGAACATTTTTCACTTTTTAATAGTATGTTGGTATAAAACTTGCAGCTACATTTCATATTTTGTCTTTGAGAGCAAACCGCTAAGTGGCAGCCACCTCGTGTGCGCCATTTCATTAACTTGCACGGTGGCGATGGCAGATCAGATGATCGGGCTGTTGAAAGGGCCCTGGGTAGCCTCATCTGGACGGGCGCGGCTGAGATGAAGATACATCTGGTGATAAGCTTTAGGCAGTGTTTATGAGGAATTGTGACATTTATAGCTGTGGCTTCTGGTCCTCCCTTTCTTCAACAGTTGACAGCTTGCTGCGCTAAATCGAGAGAGATCGTTCTTTGCATCTAAACAGAACCCCAGAATCCCAGCCTGGCCGGGGCTGGCAGGGCCCTCAGGAGCTCCCCCAGTGCCACCCCCTGCCCAAGCAGGCTCACCCAGAGCAGGGGGCACAGGACAGCGGCCAGGCGGGGGTTGAAGATCTCCAGAGAAGGAGACTCCACAGCCCCCTGGGCAGCCTGGGCCAGGGCTCGGCCACCCTCACAGTCAACAAGTTCTTCCTCCCGTTCAGCTGGAACCTCTTCTGCTTCAGGTGGTGCCCATGGCCCCTTGGCCTGTCTTGTTAGTAGGAGGGATACGCCACTGTTCCCTTCATAGCCAGTTCCTTGATTTCCCCTGGAATTGGGAGATCCGAGTCAATAACAGAGTTTCCCCCCCGCTTGCTCTGTTTCTCTGCCAGTCTGTCCTTCCAGCTGCAGAACAGGTTTGTGTCTGCTTCCCCGGGGTGTTTGTGAGCAGCTGTCTCCCATCTCTGGGACGCTGCCCTTGGCACGGGCAGAACTTGGTTCATTCCAGTTTCAGGCGCAGCAGCCTAGGACTAGCAGAGTAGGAGGCGGTTGCTTGTAGCTGGAGCATCCTTCACCTGCGGGTGAGTCGGTTCCCGCAGCCTGCAGGGGGCTTTAGGAGGCTCTCCTTACATTGGCGCCTACTTGCACCCTTCGAGTTGAGCTGCACGAATGTTTCGCTTTATCTGCTTCCAGCTCCCCGGCGAAGGTTGATGACTGAAACGGTTTTATGGTAAAAATCATGGTCTGCAGCTCTTGTTCAATGGCATGTACATTTCAAAATTTCAACGCAAATAAATATCCTAAAGTTTATAGCTTCCTTTCTAATAAGCATAGGGGTAAGAACAGAAGTGTGAGAGGAGCGGGCGTAGCAAACAGAGGTAACTAATTGGGACAGATCAGGTTGGTCTTTAAAAAAAACCAAACCCAAACCCCACCACGTGTCAGACTCTGAAACCAGGTGTGATGCTAAAATATGTACAGTGAGGGGGGTATATTCCTTTTATTTCTCAAGGCAAACGTTTGTTTGGCTTTGACCGGTGACGAAGAGCAAAGCTGCTTTAGCTAAGGTCTGAGGGTTTGAAGGGTGACCAAAAAGTTAGGAAAGAGGGGGTGAGAATGGAGCCTGAAGGCTGCAGCCCCCTGAATGTTCTGCCCCCGTGAGAACATGTTCCTGCTGCTATGACCACGGTGGGCAATAGCAGACTTCACCCTCTCGTCTCAGAGTGTTTTGTCAACGCAGTTTGATTACTTGGGCAAAAAGACAGGGTCTGCGGCGCCTGACAGCCCCAAGGGGAAGGAATTGTTCCCCATGGCCAACCTCACCCTGCCCTGGCACAACTTGAGGCCGCTGCCCCTCGTCCCATCGCCCCTTCCCTGGGAGCAGAGCCCGACCCCCCCGGCTCCCCCCTCCTCTCAGGCACTTGTAGGCAGCGATGAGGGCTCCCCTCAGCCTCCTCTGCTCCAGGCT